TTCCTCGGATGTATAGAAACTTGCCTTAAATGATTGACTGTCCCTGCTACTTGCAAATCAGCAGGCAGTCTGCTGGCAGATTTACCTGAGTATTTTCTCAAATACAGTAGTTTTTGCACAATGATTCTACCATGGTGGTTCTTGTGCTTACGTAAAAGGTCATACAATATGAAAAATGACAGAAACTGACATATTTTTTGCATACTCAAGTGATACTTTTTCAAGTGGAACAAGGGGTAACTTAGCAAACTAATCACTGCTCTTTGACACACACAATGGCAGTGAAATAATCCTGAAAAAGGCACTGAAGGTCCTTTGCAGTGGAGCATGGTTACTGCTTTTAGCTATGGTTGTAGAGTGACTTCTGATGAATGAGCTCCAAGTCCTCATCAACTGGAATTTTGAAATTCTGTCTTAGTCCACTAGATGGTGATCCTTTTAATCAGGATTCAGGTAAAAGAAAATTACTCAGCCACAAAAAAGCCCAGCACTAGAGTAGGCAAAATAGAAAAACCTAGTTATTGTATGTCATGATTTACATCATAATCTATAGAAAAGTATTCCAAAATACATTTGAGAAATTGCTTGAGCATAACTGTGGCATTTTCTCAGCAATACATCCACAGGAGTTGTAAGACTCAGTGACCAAGAGACCTAAACTTGATCTCACTCTCTTCTGACTGCAAGAGTTTGCAACTTCCAAGCTGCCAACACTTTTTGGAAGCTGATAATGACAACCTCAGCAAGGGATGCTGATTATTTGAGGCTACCTTCAATGCACAATCACTCTAGCATATTTAATTTTCTGCAGAGCACAGACAAAATTCCATAAGCAATATTAACATAAAACAAAGGCTTAGGGTACAGTAATAGAAATGTTTTATTAATCAAATATATTTACATTTCTTCATCTTCTTTTTAAATGTGTGCCTGTTATTTTCATTTAAACACAATGTAATCTTTACATTTGATATCACAAGAATACAGCTACATGCATGACTTAATTGGTCCTTTACAGTAAAAAAGAGGCAATTTAATGAAGTTTAAAAAATGCAAGCAAACTGTTGATCTTTCTAATTACAGTGTCATTATTATTTTTATTACAACACAGGACCCCTTCAGCATACTCTACATCTATAGGGTGGATTTATGGGCTTTTCAGATTGACTTGATGATGTCGAAACTTCCAAAATCTAGGAAGAAAAAAAAAATTTCATGGAGTCCCAGATTATATTTTCTAGAATCTTATCCACAGGAAGGACTTGCAAGGAACAGAATAACGTTCTAATTGTAATTTCTAAAAAATGAGAGCAACTTAATTACTCTTAAAAGCAATGATGACTTAATATTGGACATTCACTTATTTGTTTGAAATCACACTGTTTTTTCAGCTATAAGACAGCATCACATAATGCAATGGCACAATACAAAAAATAAATTTTAATTTAAAGGAGAGATGATGTTACCAAAAGTAAAAGGTATACACATAATTTCTTGTAAGTTTCTAGTATGTAATGTGCTGTAATTATTATATTATTCCCAATTCAAGTTTCTTTCATGGGAAGAAAATCAAATTGTATTTAAAATTATCATCTTTAGGGGCTATAAGTTGGTTTATAAAGGACCCAAAGTCTTTCTGAAAGGTATAACTCTATGAACATATAAAATTTAATTCTACACTGAAAAAGAATCAGAACTAGGCACAATTTTTAAATATGATTTCCAACATGTTCAGGGTTGGAAAAAAAAAATTAAAAACCAAAAGCTTGTATTTTTTTACCAGACTACAAAACAGAGATGCCAAGTGCTTCAGAAATTCTGAAATGGCAGGCACATAATCACTACACTTAAAGATAATTGAATTACACTTACTGCTTCAGATTACTGTGTGCAAACACATATTGTATGCATAATAGACCTAAATGTACAGTTCTGCTGATACATGAATTGAAACTCACTCAGTATTTGGGAAGTCCAGACAGGAACTGAATTCTGTTTAGTCCAAACCTAGAACGTATTTTGTGTTCACATTGGTTTTACATTTGCCATACTGTAATAGAATGCCTAACATGGTATTCAAGAAAATGCCATTATGGAATCATGGGTTTTCACTGTATTGCTTTCGTATGCTGCGAAATGTGTTGTTGTGAAAATACAATGTATAAATAATACGATAATTGAAGTTGTCTTTAGGCATATGGAACAACATAGTGATTTACACTAGAAAGAATTATCTGGAAGGAAAGTAAAATAAGTTCTGCAGACATACTACTCTAGTGCATTTTTTAAAAAATCCAATACAATCTTGAAACAATTGACCTTTACTTCACACCCATTCAGAAGAATATTTAGACATGTTTGAATGAAATAGAAGTAAGCCTACCTGCAGTCAGCAGGGAACTTGCAATTTCTGTAAGCACATACTTAGGTACTATTTGCACCACATGATTCAAATACAGTGGAGTCTCTTCACTGCCACAAACCTCATCCCTGACCATGG